GTCGCGACAAGTCGAAACACGGATGTGCCGCATGTTTCTTGCAGTCATTTGTGCCGTTTCGATCATCCAGGTATGTTTACGGGATTTTACGAGATTGTGCTTTGCTGTCTGTAATCGAATCCTTCGAGAAGTGGCCTTCCAACAGCCCCTTGGCATGGGGCTCTCTTGGCATGCACTTCTCACTGTCTGGTGCTTTCTTCCACTCGTCGGCATCGCGGCCCGCCTGCGCCGCCACATCGACGAAGCTCAGGAGGCCCTTCAACTTGACGCTGTAGGCCTGGACCGTGTGAGGCGGCCTTGGTTTTGGGGCATCCATCGGATCAAAAAGTCCCAACACTCCTGGGGCTGGATTGAGTTTCACCCAATATGTAACTATTATGTGATATGCGTCCATCTATCTTGCAAGGGTTGGGAGGGAGAAGACTCCACATCATTCCAAGCAGTTGAGTTTAATTCTTCAACATGGATGTCGTGCCAGGCACCAGGTACGGTTTTCTGGCGGATTCACCTTCCTCTGCGACCCCTTCTAACAACTGTTTCCCGGAAAGGCACCAACATTGACAACATTCATGTTCAACAACTACGCCCCGATATGCCCCCCCCAAGTCAAAAGAACGCTGCTAGTGCGTTGATTGATACACAACCCCCCCATTCAACTTCCAAAGCTTGACGCCTCCACGTTTACTGCTGGTGCTGGTGCCGCTGTGGTGCTGGTTTCGCCTTCTTGCCGCTTGGCCTGGCGCCAGGAGCGGCGACCCCGTGTCTCGCACTGTCTCGCAGCACGCACTTCGACCCCCCGGTCAGCAGGAGACCCCGTGTCCCACGGAAAGGACGGGATCGTTTTCTGATCAGGTTGCCCCTCTTTCTGGCAATGCAAGGGAGGATTTTCGGAAGAGCATGATCAGGAAGGCATGGGGAAGCTCCTGCAGGGTCACTCAGGCTTCACTGCCTAAGTAAGCACGTGCAAGGCAACCCACGGAGATGCTTTGGTTCCGGTGTCTCACCATAGGATCGCCCCGTCGTGGTCGTGTAGGGGACCCAATCTACTCAACCAACTGGACATCACCCTGTGGCCGGCCATCACAAACTCCAGATCAGTCACTGGACACGCGTCATGAGTATAAGTATAATTCTATATTTATAGCTGGGTGCACACGAGAGATGAACAGCAAGCATTAAAAACACGCAGAACAAAGTCTCGGTCGCGCGGGGGGATCGCATATCATGCATACGATTCTCAAACGATCCCAGCACCGAATCATGGTGCACACCCCCAGTAGGTTTCAATAAGTTTCCATGTTGCCAGCTTTCGGCGCTGTGAGCCAGAAAGGGATGGAATTTGGTCAGCAAGCCTGGGATAGCTGTGTCACCAAATGCAGGCCTGGCCGAGCAGCTTTTTCTTGATCTGGTCCCGCATGTGATACACCTAGCATCGCTAGTGTCTAAACGCGCTCAAAAGCATGGAGGTGGAAGCTGGAAGCACCATGAGGCACCCAGCTCAAGGGCAGTGAACCACGGGAAGCCTAGATGTTTCATCACCTTCCTCGAACGAAAGGCCTAAAAGCCACCTGAACAGAAGGATCTCGAGATGACCTGCCACTGTTGCTCTTGCCTGGCTGGACCTTTAGAAGGTTGATGTAAAAAATTGAAAGGACGCAAAACCCCCCTCCCCAAGTTCGCCCCCGTCATGCCGGGGCCTTCTGCGGTTTGGGTCAATCTATGTCAATCTGGACCCTGGAAATGAAAAGCTCCGTCTTTTGGGGGATCCTGCACTCCTTCAAGATCCTTCCTTCCGGCGTGCAGGAGCATTTTTCCTCTACAAAGGGCCTTCTCAGCCTCCATGATGGTCCGAGGGATCCTATCTTCTCCTACCCTATCCGTGTTGTCATCGGCCGTGCGTTCGACCGGATTCCCGCTCCGAAGCGTGAATGGCCGTCGAAGTGTGAGGCCCCTCCGGCGCGCGGCGCGATCGATGACTGAGCGCCTCATCCAATTCCTCCTTGACCTTGGACTTGAGGCAGCCCAGCTGCTCCTGGTCGACCAAGCGTGCCCCAAGAGACTCACAACCTGTCCCAGGACACCATAGTCATTTGAGGCCAAAATGCGGGAACTGTCGCACACACAGCACCAATCTAGGTTGGTGGAGGAATATGAACATTATTAACAAGTTCCGTTGAAAACGGACCCACTGCCCGGAGCATCTCGCCTCCATTGGGGCTGCCTACAGCACGGCTTGGAGAGAGTTCTGGAGAAGTGAGATTGGGCAAAGTGGTTCCCTTCCATCATGAGATATGGAGTGTCCACAAATTGCAACTTTTTAGTCCTAGATGCCTCAAATGCCTCTGAACCAGCAAATGAAATACGGCAAATCCAAAGTCCTTCTACATCAGGGTGACTCTCTATCTGCTTGCCGGCAAGTCTCTGGCTCCCTGAGCTCAATGCGGGAGGAACCATAAAAAAATAGCTGCGCAGAGCCGTAGCGAGCATCGTGTTTTCTGTAGGTCATGGTGGTCATGACACCTGCTAAATGGCCCCATCGAACAGCCTGGAAATGTTGGTTTCCAAGATTTTCCCGCAATGCACATCCACCCTGGGACTTCAGAACCCTTGGTTCTGAAATCTGTGCTGAGTCTGCTGTTGTCCATGTGATCGGGTAGCTCCCATTGCTACTATCTGAAAATATGGTGTTGAAATCAGTCCACCGATGGGAGCAAAAATCAGTACCATATCTCTGAAGCAGTTTCTGAAACGTCCCACTGGTGTGGTCGGAAGCCGGGGGCCTGCCGAAGCAGGACGCACCCAATAAGAGTCACTCGGTCTGTTCTTCGGGGAGTGCAGCCTCACCGGGTGCAGTTTGGTAACCCGAAGGGCCTGGCAAAACAGTTCTTCTCGCGCGGGGGTGTGCGTAGCATCTGCGACCGAAAGAACTCCTGAACCATGCAATTCCAATTTCCGACTGCAAAGCCATGCTGGGCCACGCACCAGCGCTCTCTTGTCAAATCGATGACTGGAACTTCATGACCAGCATCCTGGAGATGGGAGGATGGGAGGATCCAAGGTTTCCCAACTCCCGGATTCGAATCCATGAATTGGGTGAGGCAGCCATCTTTTGACCGATCTTCTTCACAAGCTTCCACTGTCTCGGCACCGTCCCACGAAGATGTGGCCAAACGGCGGCCATGTAGCATGGTCAAACTTGGCCAAACGTGATCCAGATCAAGATGTGGACCTGAAGAGTTGAGTACAGGTGCAATTGCTCCAATGAAACATCATCAAGCACCTGTCATACACTCAGTACAATATATGTTGCATCAGTCCTATCCACTAGCAGCAAGCAGCAAGCATTTTCTGAGTCCTATGCCCTGAAGAATCCCTCTGATCATTTTGGGGAGCATCACCACAAGAAACAAAAACACACCTTGCGCCACGGCCACGCGTATGCAAAATCGATCCATCCGTTGATCATCTCGAGGGTGGGCGAATCAAATGCGGGTATTGCTGTATATGTATATGTACTAGTCCTCTCAGAAATGCAATGATAACTATATATATATGTACTGTATGGACTGGACTTCTGGGTGCATACAATTACCTTGAGTATGTGTGATTTATATTGATTAATTGTGATTTTGCGGCACATCTAATTATGTGGGGTTGCATGAGAACCCCGTATACTCTTTGCCGCTCTCCAAAGCACGTTATCGTGTTTTGTCTGCTCTCATCGTTTTTACAAGGTAGTTGAGCGTGACTTCTCTTCTCAGGAGGTCGATGCACTCGAAGAATTCAAAGAAGAACTCGACTTCAGTAAAACAGTCTTCTGAACAGTTCTCTTCAGTACAACAGCATCCTTTGACTTGGGAGAGGTGCTCACATGGGAAATGGACAGGTCAGGGTGACAAATTTTGGGCCATACTATGTTATCTGTGTTTGCTCTTATCGTCTTTTCATGTGTGACGCAAATCCGATTACACCAATATTTGTTTAACCCCAAGGCCCGGGGTTATAACATTCCATGTATGCCCTGGCATCCCAGTTCTTTTGACTCCCCCAAGAAACATATGCTCCCGTCCGTGAGCAGGAGGATTCGGGTCTCAGGCTTGAAGTTCTCCAGGATCTGGGCAAGCGAGAAACGAAACCCTGCGAACCCTGAATATGCCGAAAGTGAACCCAAAATGGAAGATGGTTTTCAAGGACCTCCGCTATCGGGCACTAGGATGCACGTGGTATCACTTGATCATAGCACATGGGTCTGCATGAAATCAAAAATCACATGAACCGCCAATGAGAGTAGCTTTATATACAGTAATTGGATGCTCCATCATCTTGAGGGCACATCGCCAGTTTATCAACTTGGAGGCTAAAGTCCTTTTGAAGGGCTCCAGGTTGATCACAAGCGGCCACCTAACATTGTCTATTCTTTGTCCTTGATGTCTACCGTTTCAGGAATCCTCAAGAGGGTGTCTTAAGTTTCCTGATCTTGCTATTTGCTTCACAACTCAGGACACGTGGCTTTCGGCAAATGTTCTCTTTCCTCATGACATGGGAGTTGTGTTTTTGACTATGCTTCCGACAAATCCTATGTCAGTGCTGGCGAGTATAATGAATGTCTGAGGATCTGTCCAAGGAAGCGAAGTCATTCTCCAACAAGAGTGTCGCTGGTGAGGCCTGCGACAGCTGAGAGATCTGAGACACGCTTTCGCCCGGGTTGGACCCGCCAAGCGCGCCAACCGCTCCGGTCAAAAGCAAGGGTTGCGGGGCAGATTCATGCATGCTGCATGCTCGCGATTTGTACATGATTTCCTGGTTTGCCCACAAACCAGCCCCGCTCTGAACACCTTACAAGAAGAAACAAGAAGTAGAGACACAACAATTAGCCATCGACCATGGATCCTTGTGCTCAGAAATGTTGCGATGTGATTTTCTTTGGGCATCTGCCAAACCCCAAATGATCAGACACTTAAAGCTTCCAGATGTCTCGCCTCTGATCGCCACTTTCACTTTCACAAGCTTCTGTGCCTTCCACGTATCTCCCCCAAAAAGACCCGCGACCAGTCAGCCTTGCCGCTGGGATCCACCAAGACGAAGGCTTCGTCATGCGTACCCTGACTGCAAGGAATCGGGTCGAACAATAATCTGGAGAGATTTTCCACCATGCGATCATCTTCACCACATCTTTCACATCTTCAGTGAAATTGACAGCCTGGAGACCTCAGGAGTCTTGTTTTGCGTCTTGAGGGCCAGGACGGCCAGGATTCACCGGACCCGCACGGGCCCGCACCGGTGTGCATTCACCGGTCCTTTCCGCCGTCATCCTGACGACCGGTCCCGCCTGAAAGTCCGGGTCTCGTAGGACGGTGCCATGGCCTTCGTAGTACAGGATGAAATAGTCATTGACATCACACCTGGACCTGAAGCTGGACCAGCACCCCAGCTGGACACCAGCTCCAGAAGTGGAAAGGTCCAAGGGAAAGGTCCCGGAGGCCCTCTCCCCCAACAAAGACGGATGGCCTGATGGACAACGCTGAACACGTGGTCAAATGTTGGGGCATGACTTAGCAATCTCTTGGGACCAGGAGGTGTGCCATTTCTTGGCCCGATGCGTAGCCCATGAGCAAACAGCCCAAAGAAAGACCTGCTAGGAACCAGGGGCCCAATCACCTGTGGCTCATGGGTTTTCCACGGTTCCACTTCCCTCCTTGTTCACGCAGGCGCAGGCGCTGCACCCCTGTCCAAACTGACAGTGCCACAATTAACAATTTGCGATCATTTGAACTTGACATGTGGCAGCCGCCGTTGCCACAAGAAAAGCATTGAACATGGGAGGGTCCTCCTCCTGCCATTCCCATGGTTTCAGGTCTGTGCGTCTGGGCGGCTAAACAAACTGCTTTTAGTTGGCCATGTGGACGGATGGTCACGCGGAGTGAAACGAGATACGTTTGCCAAATCAGGATTGGTGTGAGACGGAGGTCATGCATGAAGCCATAGGAAGCCACGCAGAGACACCCCGGAAGGATCTTCATTGACCTGTTGGTTTTGGGGGACCAGCTCTGACATTGTGTTCAATTTCCATGAATGAACCATTCATCTTGGGCTTCACCCGTTTGAACTTCCCTGATCTATATACTGCTCTCATATGCTCTCCATCCAACACTTGATGTGCCACATCCTCCAGGGTTCAACACTGCAGCTCCGGCCAGTCCAGCCACTCAAAACCAAGAACATTCCATCAGTCATATTTCTTCCTTCGCCTTGCCTCGCCAGCTGCGAGCTACATTGGATGATATTATAATATTGGATGCAATGACTGAGCACGAAAAATATCATCCAATATCAATGAACCATTGCAATGAAACAACGAAAACACGCGTGGCCCTACTGAATGGCCGTTCAGGCGGTGCGAGCGGGCCGTGGCAGCTGGGAACACCTCTAGATCCAATATTGGTACATCTTTCACACACAAACAGACATAAATATAATCACATATATATATAGAGAGAGAGAGAGATATAGATAGATAGATATATTTTTCACACACGCACATAATATATTACTGACCCCGTATCCAACATAAGGACTAAAACATACAAACAGAAGCCCAAGGAATGACCTTAAAACTCCTAAAACACCTCGGCATTCTGCCGAGGTCGCCATCGCGATTCCGGAGGTCCATCTTGGTCGCCTCCTCACATGCTCTCATCAAGGCTCGCGAAGGAGATGGCCAGGTCGGAGAAGCCACGCTGAAGCGTGGTCTGCGGGACCCCGCGAGGACGGAGAGGGACCATTGGAGGCTCGACAAAGGAGAGATGGCCTGGTGGAAAATGACTCCTTCTTCAGGAAGATTGGACACATGTAGAGGCAGTGCTCACTTCAACATCTAGTGAAGGGCTAGTGGAAATCCATCGATGTATAATGATGTACTTAACCACAGTCGTTTGTCCTATTTTCCAGTCATCTACATGAATCTGACTATACTATAGTTCTGACTTCTGACATGTTCTGACTATATAGTAAAGAAAGGCTCAAGGCCTAGGCCTTAGGCCTTGGCTTTTACATGCCCTTACTCCTCACACATAGTCACATAGTGTCATAGCGTACCAAAGAAACTCGCCGAGTTCGCACAGACCCAGCCCCTGCAGTCCCTGTAGCCCCTGCGGCCGCCTCAGAACCGGTGCCAGGTGCCACCGGCTCACCTCAGCAAGGCTGCTTCGACACCACTGTCGAGTGCTCAGATTGAAAGCATGTCATCAACTCAGCAGCTCAAGCTCAACACGGCCCCAGCCCGGCCCAAGCACATCTGCTGCGAAAATCTGAGGCATCCCTACTTGGAGGCAGCTCCTGCCGGAGAGGGGTGGCACATGGCCCTGCACAGAAGTTCCCTGGAATATGGATATTATAACGAAACTTTCCACCTGTTGCATCTCCCATACCTCCCATTGTAGGAGGCACATCGCAGACACTCAGGTCTAACGACGTAAAAGAAAACATGTGAGACAAAAGATCTATGCACAGCACATCGAAAGGGGGAATCTCCAAGTAGTCAGGCTTTGGCCACAGCCTTCCAACAAAATGCCCGCAAACCGTTCAAGCTCCTCAAACGTGAACAGAGGTCTGGCTCCGAAAATGGCGCCCTTAGGAAGAGCTCTGCCGCATTTGTATGCTTCTGTTGAACGATAGAGGCCCGGAATTAATGTTTGGTCCGGAGTGGCCATGATGGCGACGATGGTTCGTTTAAAGTGCTTTAACGCATCGCAAAAGTCGACACTCAAATCAGAAAAAAGTTGAAACTTGTATCCTCTCCCCACAAAGACACAGAGCAGCTCTACAAAGGCCACTCCTTTGCCATCAGCAGTCTGCAAAATGGTTAAGGTTGCCCACTGATTGGTAGGGAATAAAACAACTACCAGAAAATCCAGAAACATCAAGAAACTACTCCCAAGGTGGATGACAAAGCCGGATTTGTCAAGTTGGCACCGTCGTCATGGGGCGTCTGGTACTTTTGTAGGGCTTTCCAGCTGTTCATGACGAACAGTTGTCGCATTCTTACGGTTGGTGGCTGGGGGTTGGGTGGGGGTAATAGTATGTTTCACTCAAGATTCACGATGCATCGCCAAAATTTTGTAGAAGTGTGGTTGTTGGCTTTGATATTCATGTTATCTATACTTATTATGTTGTCTCGGTTGTCTCGGGAAGCTGTGCGGTTTGAGTGGCCCAAGCCGCTGCTAGGGTGCTTTGACGGTGGTTTGACGTGGTACCGTTGATGCACTTCTTGGCCGGATCGGTTTCGAGAAGTCCGTGATGGTGGTGTTACTACAGAGAGTGTGGCAATGGGTTTGGCGCTGTGTCCACTTCCATGGCCACCCTTCGCATCCTGTTGAAGGCGTTGCCCTCGGCATGGAAGAAGAAGCGGTTTTTGGAGCTTTGGATAATGCTTTGGACATGACCTCGCACCTTGCAGCGCAGCACCCGATTAGATTGATCCAGCACCGATCTAGGTCGGACAGGAAGGCCATCCAATCCATGGTCCGGTGAGTTGGGCTCCGGTCGAGGACATCAGAGACGCGGTGATTCATCCATCGAGGGCACCCATTCTCCGCGGTGCTCTCCAAACGATATGCGTCCTGTCTAAAACCAAATGGAGCCAAATGGTTTGCTTACTCGCTCATACTGACATCATGATCTAACAGCATCTGTGACGCAAGTTGTGAAACTCTTCTGCAAAAAATTGTGTCTTAGTGCCAAAATGTGCATTGCAGTGTGCGTCTGCTGGGTCCGTTCTAGTAATTCTATCGATTCTATATACGCTATATAGGTGTTCATTCTGGAGAGGTCGTGAGTCGCGTGTGGACACAAGTTGCCCTCAGGACCCCTGGATTGTAGACTCTTGATGAATCAACACCACCACTTGAATTGGACTTCAGGCTTGGGCCTTGGGGGGTTATGGTCCTCAGTCGAGTCGACCCTTTTCGCCAAAACCGGCTCACCGGCTTCGTCTGACTTCCACTCCATCCGACTCACCGCGGACGGCATCACACGCGGCGACTCGCGCGGGGTTTCCTCCTCAGACGACTTGCTCCATCGGCGATGCCCCAGTGCCGGCGCGGTGGCGGACTTCACGTTCGCACCTCGGAGAGCTGTTTGGTCCGTGAAGAGCGGTCCTATATCGAAGGTCACCCAGGTTCTCCGAAAGTCGAAGGAAGTCCGACGTCGGGGAGCGAGCACCCCCAAAATCTGCGATGATCGCCTTGTGCCTCTCCCCTTTTTTGGTCTCCCCATCGGTCGCGAGAACCGTCACGAGAACCGGTTCGCGTGCATCGATCGCGAAGCTAACAGCCAGCGCTCCGGGCGGCTTTCACTCGCGCGCTTCAGCGCGAGGGTGAAGCTCGGGTCCGCCTGGGGAGTCGTGAAGCCCGGGTCCATGGTTGGTCGGGTCTCTGGCGACGGTGACTCGGTGTTCCGCCGGGGTATGCCGGGGTGACCTTTCAGGTCTTCAGGTGGCAGTTACAACTTGCGAAGCTGAAGGCTTGAGCGGGAGAGCTGCACCAAATTCGAAACCACTGAGTTGTGCATGCAGTGCATGGCCTTACACCCTGCTGAGTGAGGCCCTCTGTGTGTAGCGAGCTACGTCCTCTCAACACAAAAGCAATCACAATGAACACCTCTTCCTGGTTGCAGAAATTGCTGGAACCCCCTGGCAGGGTTATAGTTATATAATGTTATATAAGTGGCCTTGTAAACAAGAAAATCATCAAAAATTGTACTGGACCTATACCTGGAACTTCCTCAGTACTATGTTGTTGGATCTGCAGGGTGAAAACCATCTTTTGGAGTCACAGCCTTATATTTGAGTCTGCGGATGTGTCTCTAGTTTTCTGATTTTATCTGATACTCCACGGGCGTTTGTACAAGCTACAGGCGTCTATTGGTGAGGCACGGGTGTTTTGCCCGAAAGTGGTTTTCAGCGGATGTTTATTTTGCATGCGGATGTTTATACAGTTCACAGACCCAAATAAAGGTACGTCGAACTACCGGCCAACAAAAGAAACACGACGTTGCAGGTACACATTGAACGTCAACCAAAAGCCCGAGAAGTAAATAGAAGTAATACCCTTGTGACCTAAATATAGCGCACTAGAAAATGCAGAACCATATGAACCTGCTGTTTGCCTGTCCGTGCCTCCATGCCCACTGTACCGTTACAGGTCCATTGCGAAAAGCAGAAAGTTCCTGGCTCTGGACTCCAAACTGGAATCCCACAATGTTGGCAGTTGATTAAGAATACTCCCAATGCAAAACCATGCGCAAGGTAAAACCATGACCATACTATAATATGTATTTTTATGTGCAGAAAGGTGGGGAGGGCGCTTTTGAAACAGTCACCATCAGGCCCCAGGCTGTTCTTGTCACGTTC